TCAACCTCTACGACGCGTGGCTCGGCCACCTCCTGCCCTTCGCGCTCGGCCGCGTCGACCGCGTCCACTACGGCCTCCTGTCCGCGGGCGACGTCACGCGCGCGCGCGCGCGCGCGGCCGCGGCCGCGCCGCGCGGCGCGGCGGCCGCGCGCGCGGTGCCCAAGGCGCGGCGGCTGCTCGCCGTGCCCTTCGTGGGCAAGGACCGCCCGAGCGACGCGTCGGAGTTCAGCCACCCGGACGTGCTCATCGGGCTCACGATCCTCGCGGTGCGCCACGAGGGCCTCCGCGACTCGGACGCGCTCTGGGTCCTCGGCGACCTCCAGCGCCGCTTCCGCGCCGAGGCCGGCCCGGCCGCGCGCCGGCCCGCGGCGCGCGCCTACGCGCGCTACGTCGAGGGCGCCGGCGGCGCCGTCCGGGGCGCGCGCGCCGGCGGCGGCGGCGTCTGGCCCGTCGACGCGCTCGACCTCGGCGACGGCGCGATGGTCGGCCCCGCGGTCGCGCTGCTGCGGCGGTCCGTCGCGTGCGGCCGCGACTACCTCTGGCGGCGCTGCTTCCCCGAGACGCTGACGATCCGGCCCTCGAAGCTCGCGGCGAGCGGCCAGGAGCTCGGCGGCGCCGCGATCTTCGGCGCGCGCGTCGGCTTCTCGGGCACGCCGAACGACCTCGTGCCCGCGGAGCTCGGGCCCTGCGCGTTCGAGGCCGCGACGGACGGCCGCGTCGCGCGCGTGCTCGGCGACGCGCGCGTCGTCGCGCGCGTCGCGCTCGAGGCGGGCTGGACGCCCGCGTCGCTCCTCGGCCGCGTCGCGCGCGAGGCGCGCGCGCCGTACCGCGCGCTCGTCGACGCGGGCGCGCTCGTCACGGGGCTGTCGAACCGCGAGGCCGCGGCCGCGCTCCTCGCGGGCGGCCTCGGCCACTGCGACGGCGTGCTCTACTTCGACGAGGAGGACCGGCCCCGCGTCGCGCGGCGCGGCGGCGACGACGCGGCCGCCGCGTCGCCCGTCGCGGCCGCGCGGCGGTTCACGTTCTACGACCACGCGCACTGCACGGGCCTCGACGTCGCGCAGGCCGCGGACTGCCGCGGCGCGCTCACGCTGTCCAAGGACTCGACGTACCGCGACCTCGCGCAGGCCGCGTTCCGCCTCCGGCGCCTCGGCGCGGGGCAGACGCTCGCGCTGCTCGTGTCGCCGGAGCTCGCGGGCTGCCTCGCGGAGGCGCGCGCCGCGCCGCGCGCCGCCGTCGCGGCCGCGCTCGGCGACGACGCCGCCTGGCCCGCGCTGCTCCGCGAGCTCCTCGCCTGGCTCGCGGCGAACGGCCTCCGGCGCGAGCGCGTCAACTTCTTCCTCCTCGCGGAGCAGTCCGTCGCGAACGTCGCGCGCAAGGCGTCGCGCCGCGCGGGCACCGGACGGAGGCGGCGCGACGTCGCCGCGCGCGCGCGCGCGCGGGTCCGGCCTCGCCTCGCTCCGGTCCGAAACGCGCTCGCCGAGAGACCGCGATCCATCCGAACGTCGGCCGAAACGACGTCGGCGTCGCCGAGATCGAGACGCGCGGCGTTTCGCCGGACGGGGCCGCGCCACCGGCCGCGTCCCGCGCAGGTCGCGCACCGCGAGCTCCTGGGCCGCCACCGCGACGTCGGCGACGCGCGCGCGGGCTCCGGCGCCGCGTGGCTCCGCGCGTGCCTCGACGTCTTCCGGACGCGCGGCCCCCGCGCGGAACCCGCGGGATCCTCCGCGCGCGCGCGCGCGCGCGCGCGCGCGACGGGCGCCGCCGCGCGCGCCTCCGCCGCGCGTCGCGCGCGCGACGAGCGCCGTCGCGTCGTCCCGACGTCGGCCGCGTCGACCGCGCCGGCGCGCGTCGGCGCGCGGCCGGCGCCCCCCGAGCCGGCGGCCGGCCGCCCCGCAGGCGCGTCGCGTTCGACGTCGAGAACGCGGTGCCCGCGCCGCGGCCCTGCAGCGAGCGCATCGCCCAGCTCGTCGAGGAGCACGCGGACCTCATGACGGACGCGCCGGACTTTGGGGCCGCGCAGGCCGCGCTCGCGGCCGTCTCCGCGGCCGAGGCGGCGGCGCGCGCGCCGCGCGCCGGCGGCGCCGCGGCCGCGTTCGAGGGCCTCCAGGAGCAAGAGGCCGAGGAGGAGGCCGAGGAGGAGCAGGCCCAGGAGCGCGAGCAGGAGCGGCGCGTCGAGGCCGAGGCAGAGGCCGAACCGGGCGCCGCGCGCGACGCGGCGGACGCGCAGGCGTACGCGCGCGACGGCGAGGCGCCCA